CTGCGGATTCCCCATCTTGTGAAAAGCCTTGTTCAGGACCTCAACAAAGGGTATGTATCTGGATCGAGAAGAGAGGTGACAGTCACTTGGTGCATACATCGGATGTGCGAGTTTTAGCTAAGAATTTCATATTTTTTGATTTTTCCCACTTTTCCCCGTATTACCTTGGCTGACCCACCCGTTTGACGAGAAGTGGGGAGGGCGAGAAGACAGGACTGGTGCTAAAAAATTCTCCCGTCAGTGTGCCTGGTATCAGTGCCATGCAAGGGCTTTTCTCGTGGAGAGATGTGGGTACTGAAGAGTCTAGCCTTCTTTCGTGGGATAGTGGGCTTGGGTTTACAGTACAGGTTCTTCAGGAGCAGAGCTTGACTAGCTATCTTCTCTTTTTTATGAGAACAGAATGTTTTGGTGGTACGTGTACGTCTTTTCGTAGCGTTAGTGGTACTATTAACCCCTGGATCTAGTAACGACGTGAGAATAGCATTCAGGGGCATTGGATTAGGTGCTCCAGGAATGACCTTAACGCTTAACTTGAAAGGTACGCCTAGTTACTAGTATTGTCTGTAATACAGTTTTCATCAATTTGTTTGAATATCTATTTCTTATATCTTATATCCATATTCCTATTATTTTAAAATACTCTGGGGAAACGTCCCTAAGTCGCTATTTTGTTGGGTCTACCTCTTCGAATAGTACAGGGGTTGACAAAACGGCAATGGTTCGTCTGAGGTAGGGACGAAATTACTCTATATGCCTTGGAGTAGTTTTTTTTAATCGTTTTCTTTCTGCTTTCTTTACACCATTCTACCACCATCAAAGCGGAACTCGGTAAAGTATAATCTACTACTTTCCAGCACTTGTCTTCCGAATCGCCGTTTCTTATCGTGGATTCTCCCCATTTGCTGAGTATGAACGCGGCTTATGAGCGCTGTAGAAATTTCCGTGGGGCAGTTCCGCGACGAGAGGGGGGAGGGGTAAATTTTGCCCCTTCGCTAGTTCCGATTTACAAAGTCTCTCTCTCTCTCTCTCTCTCTCTCTCTCTCTCTCTCTCTCTCTCTCTCTCTCTCTCTCTCTCTCTCTCTCTCTCTCTCTCTCTCTCTCTCTCTCTCTCTCTCTCTCTCTCTCTCTCTCTCTCTCTCTCTCTCTCTCTCTCTCTCTCTCTCTCTCTCTCTCTTCTCTCTCTCTCTCTCTCTCTCTCTCTGGTGAAGGCTGTAAACTCTTGTGTAGCTGGAGCAAGCTCGTCGATGTGGTAGGTGGTATTCGTATATTATTGCATTGCTATACAAGAGTTGACAGGTGGGTTCTGCAAACTTTCGCTGGTATCATTTGTGGCTACAAGATTTCACAGGTCTCCACTTGACTCGACACGTCAATGTGATGTGGCAAAAGTGCATTCCTCCCCCCTTGTCGCCAAACTGCGCTGTTTCTCTGCTTTGATTATCTAATATTTACTGTGCTCATCGTTTGGTCCTCTTTTGTGCTCGCACAGATTCGTGCCGATCTTCGCAGTCTTTTTCTTGATATCGTAGCCATTATCATGATTTCAGGAATGGCAGGGATCGCTGCAGGGCGTTTGGCTGAGGAGCGAAAAGCATGGCGGAAGGACCATCCATTTGGATTCATAGCTAAGCCTGTAAAAAACCCCGATGGTACCTTAAATCTCTTCAATTGGGAATGTGCTATACCAGGCAAAAAGGACACGATCTGGGAAGGAGGGTTATATAAGGTATCTATATTATGATTCACTATTTCTGTTTTTCATTGCAGTTTACTGGTATTGCGAAGGGTAGTGGATAGTGACGCAGCATAGGCTGTGCTCATACTTTGCGGCAGCGTTTTGGGCGGCATGACGCTTAAAACGCTGACGCAGGGTATGAACTACCGCGAGCACCCCTATCACTGGCACGGTTTGGGGGTCAAATTTCCGAATCGTCTTCCGTACGGACCAGTCCATCTTTCTTTTCTTCAGTGACATAAATTGGTATCAGACTTGTTCGGTATCAATTATAGACGAGAAAGCTTGAAAGTACTCATAAATGGGTTGGATAAATCAAGAAGTAAAATTAACCAGATTTGATGTAAGCTCGCCTTTTCATGGCATTTTTTTCTTGTGTTTTACTACTTGCCCACAGTGTGGAGATTCTGACTGTTCACCCGTAGCTGCAGAACCTGTTTTTTTATATTGGCCGGAAAATTTGATGAAATTTCAAAAATTCATGAAATCTAAGGGGCATTTCCATTTTCACCCTTTACCAAAATCTACTCGAGCTCTTTGCTGAAGCAGTGGTGTTTTGAGAATATTTAGCGTAGAGAATGTACTTTTCTTTTGATAATTTTCCGCTGAAATCCACTCGTTTTCCAGATTCGGATGTTGTTTAAAGATGATTTTCCTTCAACGCCACCAAAATGCAAGTTCGAGCCTCCATTGTTCCATCCAAATGTTTATCCATCAGGTATAGTGCATTCTTTTTATTATGGAATTCTAAAAAGCCCGATATATATGGCTGTTTTGCTCATCCCGTAATCGTATTCTGTTGTTGTGGAAAATTTGGGAAATTGCACTGAAAGGCACGTAAAGGTGGATCCATGGTAAATGGACCTATTGTAGACCAAATGATCCTTTGGTCCGACTAATGGGTCCTTGCGTATTTAGACGAAAATAAACTAGTTTGTCATGAGTTTTACGGGGATACCCCGCTCCATGGCGAGGCACAAAAGCAAGGGCAGCGCTCCATTAGTGCTGCTGATCCTTTCATTCGCAGCACCCGCACATACGCCCTCCCCCCTCCTACCGCAGGTCACGTACGACCCTCACGACTCCGCGACGCTTGTGAAGGAGCAAATAATGGAACACCTTATCAAAAGCCTTATGAAAGTCCAAATAAACAAAATCATAGTTTTGCCCAGAATCTAAAGCGCGGATCTTCAGAAGTAGATGTTTTTAGAAGTGATGAAATTGTTTCTAGATGGGTCATTTCGGCTCTGAAACCCCTACAAAACCTACAGGTTTCTTTTGCTAACCGTTACGCATTTCAGGCACAGTTTGTTTATCACTTTTGGATGAGAATAAGGACTGGAAACCGTCAATCACGATTAAGCAGCTCCTTATTGGAATACAGGATCTCTTGAACAATCCAAACCCTGACGACCCTGCCCAAGCAGAAGCCTATCAAATTTTTTGTCAAAACAGGTACAAGTTTTGTTCTGTACTACAGCGTTTATGCTAAGTATGTGGACTCCGAGAATCGGGGAGAACTCTCAATTAGAGAGAATGTGCCCAGTGTTACATAGAACCTACGGCTGCGTTCATAGTTTCATCGGTGTTTTGAGTGCATTGAGCGTTCTGGGCGAAAAGGGAAGCATAGTATTTTCACCAAAAGTTTTTCGAGAGACACGCCGGCTTTTTGAGCGAAAGGGTAAGTGTGTATGGATCTCGGAAGCTTGCAATGCTAAATTGAGTCCTGTGCTTCATTTTCGCCGGCCACGTTCGTAGCGCTCATAACGACGAAAAGTATGAACAAAGCCTATTGGAATCGCCGATTCATTTTTCTGATTTCTGGATTTGTCAGATCAATACTTATACTATTCCCTGAGCGCATTCTCAGAATTCGCAAATTCTTCCCGATCACTGGATGCGAAACCTAGCTGAACTAGGTCCTTTGCGATAGCATGTTTTTTCAGGGCGGAATATGAGAAGCGAGTGCGCCGGGAAGCAACCAAGTTCAACGCAGATGTCGTTCAAAAGCAGATGTTGGGATAGCGTCGCTACTTCATTTTTACTCTTAAATTCGTTTTGTTTTTGAAAAACTGGTGTTCATAGTGACTGGAAACCGGACACTTCTTCCGTGTTATCTCATTAGACCCCTTATCATTTGAGCTTGACGAGTGAAAATCCATTCAGATTTTTGACGTGTCTGCTTTTCTGTAACAAGAATTTTTTTTATGAACTCTCATTCTGGAAAACCTGTGCTTAACGTGTTTGTTTGAATTGATACTGTGTTTTGAAATGAATAAAGAACTAATCGCTGTTGGTGTTTTTGACTACTCAAAGTGTTCAAGCATTGTGAAAACATATCTTGGAGCATTTTCTATACTTTATTCGAAGGAAGACGGAATATTTGCTGATTCCCGAGGTATTGTTGAGAATATGTCCCTGAGCTGGGTTTTCTGCACAATCTGGGCGTCGTACGTTGGGGCTCTGCAGCGGGGGTCTCATTTGGTCGCTATGAGGGTAGTACTTGCCTTTGGAAAAATATTCTCGATTGCTGACGTTTCTTCTCTCAAGTGCGTTATATGTGCCATATACTTGCCCCCCCCCCTCCCCTCTCTCCGCTCGACGGCGCTTTTTTTTGGTCAAAATTTCGTGAAAGCTCTGGAAAACAGATGGGAAGTTCGTAGAGTTCAGAAAAATGGCAGGTGGGATGGGCAAGGGAGAGTCGTATTGCCACAGCAATTCAGTGTGTAATCATTTTACTGGCACATGACCTGTAAAGGCCATTTAGTGCCACTTAGCATCCATTCCCGTGATTTTCCCCAGAAGTTTCTCCATAAAAATGCGTACTGGGGTTATTCCATGATTTTCTACAGAATTTCCCCATAAAATTACGTACTGGGGTTGTCCGAAGATATGGATGTGGCTGTTTCCAGCGGGGACAGCAGTGTTGCCGTGCAAATGTTCAAGGAACAAAAGGGATGTAGATTAAACAACGGTGTGCACAGAAACGAAGAGGACATAATAGCCTGGGAGAGGGCATTCAAAGGTCTCTTGTAACACTGGGATTGGCTTCATCCATATAGAATTACTTCGCTCACCTCGGGGCTCCTTCACCCGTGAGGGCTTAAGAAGTACTCAAAGGCATGAGGGACGATAGTTTGTATATGGTCCTGAGTGGTAGCGGAGGTGCTACATAGAGGGAATATGGGAGAAATTCGAAGTGAATCCAACAACCTGCAAAAAAGCCTTTGTTCCACACTCAGACTCAGAAAGCAATTTCGGACGAGTTTCCCGTTGGCATCTTGCCAATAATCGCTACGGTAGACACGGTTGCATATCAGATATCCATGCAGCACCGCAGTCGCTTCATATTAGTCCCTTCGCTTTATATTGTACTTTAGGTGGGGGGGGGGAGGGCGGTCTAACGAAGCATAGACGGGCGACCTTGTGAAGACCTGTAAATTCTTACGAACGAATTCTTGGGTCCCTTTTACTGTTTTGCACCTTTGCAAGTTTTTAACAGGCGTCACCAGAATGAGACCCGTTACTAAAAATGAGCCAGAAAGAAAAACGAGCGAGTGTGCAGAATGCTGAAAAGACCCGAAATTTTTACCATATCCTACTGAATTGCCTGTTCCAGATTGCACTGAGCGTGTCTGTCTCCTAGTTATGACTGTGTCATACAATCATCGCCGATCTGCACGTCGTATTGAGGAAGCAAAACGAAAAGCAAGGCCAGGTATGCAAGTGTTGGTTTGTTATTTGAATGTTAGAGTTCTCTTGTTTAAGAGTTGAATAACTATGGGTGGGACACTCTTGGCCTTGCTCAGAAATTTGCGCTTCCTGATTTTAAGGACAATATTTTGAGGTGAGGATTAACCATTGACATTTTTTTCTTTTTTTGGGAATTGTATTTTCATTTTAGGGTGGATGCCACGAAGTTGTCGCTCAATGAGTTTCGCGAGAAATACGAAATCCCTCGCATTCCTGTAATACTGACCGGTCTTACCGATAAATGGCAGGCTCATGAAAAATGGACGGTTTCGGTAAGTTTCAATACTAGTCACTTCTTTCTCGAAATTATGGAATTTCGTAAACCGTCGTTGTCAGCAGAGTGCATATCCCAAAAATCAAATCAAAAAGTACGCGTTATGAAGAAAGATTGCAGCCTGTAGCAGCCCTTCTGAGCTCTTGTTATTTTCTTCAAACGTTTCTGGTTTTTCAGGCAGTATTATTTTCACAATTGTTCGGGATTTCTTCGCCTGGGCTCCGCGATATTGGGGAAAATGGTAAGGGGCTTCGGGCGAGATATACAGTTGTTTCGCTGAAGGGGCGTGACAGGGGGGGGGGTGCATGGCGCCGAACCTATTTTCCACCGTTTGTTGAATCGAACAAGCGACAAGACTGCGTTCATATCAGTCGTTTTCACCAACTGTTGTAGCTTATCCGCTTCAACAACAGGTGAAAATTGAGTAAACGGGATGGCGCCAGACCATCTCACCTGTTCTCGCAGACAAGATGTATCAGGAAATAACCTCTTGATTCAATTCGAATATAATGTATTTGACCCAAGAAAGGGTGATGTTTAGCTTGTTCCAAGTTTTTTTTTCGATTCCGTGACCGAAAATTCCCGTGCGACGTCGTGAACGTTTGATCTGCTAAGATGCGCGACGGCGCGACGCATGTAAAAATATGCGGTGGTTAGATCTATTCGTGAAGGGGTCGTTATGTTCGCGATGTGTCGTTATGGGATCGCGAAGTTCAGGTAAAGAATTGCTGAAGGAATATGATGTCAACTGGGGGCTGAGCGAGCATGGAGGAAACTCATGATTCATCATCAGTAGTAACCGCTCCTAAAACCTTTGAAGTCCATCTTGCTTATTTTTTTGTAGAATTTCTACTTTGGTAGGCTAGTAATTTGGTGGTCAGCCAACCATTGGTAGTAAGTGCTCCAGATTCGCCCACTCCACCTCTACTGACCCCGCGATCAGTCAGGGCGGTGTCAGTAGGCATGGAGTGGGCCAACCAGCAGCATTTTCTACCAGTGGCTGGTTTTTTTCCTCGAGTGGCCGCTATTTGTAGAGAACATTGTGGGGATGGACTCCTTCCACTTCTCCTGGTTCCACCCCCTCCCCACCAAACGATTGCCACGATATTAAATGCAGGTGCGGCATATATGGGAAGTGAAGGGTGTTTGGTTTAGCTTCTCGCTGCTTTGTTGCATATGAAAAACTGAAAAATGTTATGCTCCATATAGATAGTTTTTATTCAAGAAAAGAATTCTAGAGGATTGCTAAAAAATACCGTAACCAGCGGTTCAAGTGCGGTGAGGATGACGACGGTTATTCCGTGAAACTGAAAATGAAATACTATGCAGACTACATGGTGAACAATGTGGACGATAGCCCTCTATACATATTTGACAGCGGATTCGGCGATGTGAGTTTGCATTGGAGGGGAGGGGAGGTAAAATCCAAAGACCTTCTGAGATCTGAAATTTTTTAGCGTCACAAAACGAAGAAACTTCTTGAAGATTTCGTCATTCCGCCATTCTTCAAAGATGACCTGTTTAGTTATGCTGATCACAAGAAGCGACCTCCCCATAGGTACGAATTTCATGTAATCTACCGCATATGTCTAGCAGTGTTTTGTAGATGGTTTGTGATGGGCCCAGTTCGATCTGGTACATCCATTCACATTGATCCCCTCGGGACTAGCGCTTGGAACGCTTTGATCAAGGGACATAAGAGGTAGAACTGCATCCTTTTGTCATTCTGTTCTTAATCCTTAAAAGTTCCTCGCAAATCTTTTTTATAGGTGGGTGCTTATCCCGCCGGACGCGCCTCGAACACTAGTTAAGCCGTACCAGTCAGAGAAAGGTAAACATCCGGATGAGGCGACAACCTGGTTCATGACGGTTTACAATCGTGTTCGTGCATCAACGTGGCCTAAAGAATATCCTGTAATTGAGGCGCGTCAAGGTCCGGGCGAAACGATGTTTGTGCCGTCAGGTGAGGATTAATTTCGTCATTATGCCTCAATCTACTTTGCTTATGTGGAATCTGCGAATGCACCAAAAAAGGAAATCATGCGTATTGCACTGGAGAATTTGCGATTCAGGAGAATCCGCGACAAATGATCAGATCAGAGTCGATCGGCCTGATTTCGGCGTTCTCTCTTAAAGCAGGTTCTTCAGATCAATGCGTGTGCTTTCCCGGGCATAATCCGTTGGAATATGCCGTATGCCCCCTATCCTCCAGTCGACGGCTGTTTCTTGGGAGAAAATTCAAGAAAACTAGAATTTTCTGAATAGAAAAACTGGAGGGGTGCTTTCATTTTGGGAGAATTCGGGAAAATGATAGGTGGGATGGCAGAGGGAATGGGGGGGGTGGAAGGGATTGTGGTCATGTCTGAGGGGAAAATTATCTGTTAACCCTAGTCGCAAATCTTCGCACTTCACAAAGTCTGAACGCGTCTATCAAAGTAGTTGTAGATTATGTGAGATTAATTTGGAAGTAGTCCCTTTCAAACGATAATATGTGACGGGATGGACTGATGCTCTCTCGAGACGGCCCTTCCATTAATGATTGCATTTATTAGTCTTCAGCAATTGGCGAGAGGGGTAATCTGGGTGTGATCCAATTCACGCCCGTTCACACGCCCTACCGTTTGCAGGGATCATGACTACACATGTGCCGTGGTCTTTCAGGTTGGTGGCACGTCGTGATTAACGAGGATAACACCATTGCAATTACCCAGAATTTCTGTTCCATAGCGAATTTACCGCAAGTCTGGCCAAAAACAGTAAAGGGCAGACCGAAACTCAGTAAACACTGGTTTAAGAGGTGAGACTTCATTTGTTGAATTCGTCTAATTCCCATTGGCTCACATTTTCATGACTTTAGGCTTAACCAAGAACGACCTGAGTTGATCCCCATTATGGAGCAGTCAATGCATGGACCAGCAGAAGATGACTCGAGTAGCGACTCGTCGTCGAGCAGTTCAAGCAGTGACGATGACACAAGTTCAGATGATAACATGGCAAGCACAAATGAATGCTCAGAAAGACCGAGAAAGAGGTTAGTCGTTGTAGAAGGGAGTAGACTACTTTCATGGCTTTCATTAGGTGGCGTTATCGGTGAACAGGGTGCCTCATCCATGCGAAATTCTCGAACCCTGGGAGAGGGTAAGCCATCGGCAAGGTTATCAGGGTGTGGTAGCGCCCATTAAGTCTTGTTCTGATGTCCAAACTTAGCTAAGCACCAACTTATTGAAATGGGGAAAGCAAGAAGAGCGGGGTATATAGGCTTAAAGTCACGTTCCTTCCATATACAGAGGCTGTCCTTGGGCAATATGGTCTGGTTTGCGTGGTCAGGGATGTACTACTTTCGTGACGCAAAAATGCCCAATAGGGAAGCTATTCGCTCAAGAGGAAGACAATGCCCGCCCACTGGTTCACACTGCGCTCAACACGCTCAACGTTCAGCTACTTGGGGGTATGGTTGTTCCGCTGCTACTATTTCCATTTTGAATGGTATGAGTGAGGTGGTAGGGGGAGAAGAAGCTGAAGATCCAAAAAAGAGGTAAGGAAGATTGTATAACGGTGTAGGAGAACGGGAGAGTATCAGGCTGAGTGCGCCGATTCCAGCGAGGGTACAGGAGAATAGGAGAGTTCCAGAATGCAAGATAAGGCGTTAGAAAATAGCAGCTTTGCTGTTCCGCTACTGTACTGCAAGCCTTTCAGTTTTATGGCGTCTACCTACACTGTCTGGTACTCGCCTGTTCTCCCGTACGCTCCGAAACACCAGCTGCCGGCGTCGGTCAATACTGGTGTGGCTGCGTTCCCGTCTATAGCAATAGAGCGCTATTACAACGGTAACGCGTCGACTCGCTCATCGCGAAGTCTGAACGCGGCCTAATTCCAGTTTCACTTGCACCGACCTCTTTCCTTTTCCATTGACAGATTTTGATTTGTTTCTTTTTTACTCTTCATGATCTTACTTGAGTTGTGATTCAATTTTAGGCGCTACAGCGAAGTGGTAGGTCACGCGGGTGAAGGCGACTTGTGTGCTAGCAAAATGCGAAGTAGCCCAAGGAGACACTAAGATGGAAAACTTCGATTTGTTATCTGTTTTCTTTGTCAACACCTCTTATCGTACGAAGAATTACTTATATTTTGTTGTCATCTGCGGGTATTCTTTTAGTTTGAACATTGTTTTTAGTTTGTCTTTTCTTTTTGTTCTTGTTATCTCATATCTATGCATGTCTCACATCTCGTCCACTTGTGATTAAGTTTCTAATTTGATACAAATAAACTATTTATGTAATGATCAGTGGTACTGTGGGAGATTATGTGTGAAAGTAGAGTGTGACAGTACCATATTGACACGGTGTTATGTGGAGCAATAAAATAGCCGAAAAGTGCTCGCGGTTTTTGGTGCCCCATTGTTCGCATTTCTGTAATATTTTTTGTGAAACTGCGCTGCCACATCCCATGCTATTTTGGAACGCACCTATCTCACTATTGAGTAGCTCGATCGATGAAGCAATTTTTCCGGCTTTTCAGATGATCCATCATAGCACGCACAAGCGACAGATGTGGGCAATTTTTGTGTTCCAGTTCTTCAGGCAGGAGAACTGCAAAACGACTCACACATACACGGAGAGGGCAAAAAAAGCTTCTTCCTCGCTGTTAAAGACAATTATCGCGATCAAGTATTGCGGGCAATTGTACTCTGTCATGCACCAGTATTCCATAGTTAGCTTCTCAGTAGAAAAGAAGCAGAAAAATCTTTGGGAAACCTTTTCTTTTCGCGACTTTCACACATGTTTACACGGCCGACCTGAAGTAAGTCATTTAAGCTGAGCTATGAGCCAACTCTACGCAAATGCAGTGGACCGCGGGCTTAAAGGACACGCGGGCTTTAAAGGGACGGATGCAGTTCGGGACCAGACGCCTCGTCCACCTACCGTCTCCGTGAGCCTAGCGAGCCTTGTCGAAATTGCGATAACTTCCTCATCGCGCGCCATTGATGGATAAAAGCGGGATCATCTTCATCAAGGCGCAGAGGGTTCCAGAAGGCGCGAAGTCATTTTCGAAGGCCTCTCGAGCGCGGATACTGTCTTTAAAGTTGTAAGACGCTACACGCTTATCAAATTCTATTGACATCACAAGATGCTGAGTGTGGCCAAAAAGTTGTACCCAGGCGGGAATCCGTGAGTCCGCACCTCACGCCTTCCGGGTGAGTGCGCTTTCCGTTACGCCACCCGGGCCGCTTTTACCCTCTCAGCTTAACGGCTTTTATGTCGTAGCCTTACAGCAGCACAATGTTAACATGGTGAGCCGGTCAGCCGTAAATCGTAAATCGTGGATATAGTGTAAGTATCGCGGAGCACGTTTGGGCGTGTCAGTGCGGCTGCGTTTGGCGCGGTGCCAAACTCGTTCTCCACCAGTTGTTGAAGCGCGCAAGTGACAATGCTGTATCATATCGTTCGTATTACTCGTTTTTCCACCACTTTTTGTCGCGTGCGCGCTTTAACAAAAAAGCAGAGAACGGCTTTGTTACTGTGCACACTCATTCTGGCTGACACGCCCCACCGTCCGCAGCGAACTACAGTGATATCGGCATGGAACCGCAAGGCCGAATGCTTTAAGAGTTTTTGAAGCTGTTTTGAAGTAGAAGTAGTTAGAAGCCAAACAGCTTATAATTGGACATTTCCACCACCGTGTTCAACATCACATTGTACACTATCAATGATACTCCACCGCAGCCTTCTGAACGAGCGCCATTGACACGCCTGAGTTCAGCGAAGTCGTTGATTCTCCACCACTGCAGACCACCCTGTTGAGCTCCGCTCGGAGCCGGTAATCGAGGGGGTTCACCTCAGGTGACACACTCAGATATTCCGTCTTCTTTAGGTACTCAACGTCCTTCCATTCCAAGTAGGCGAAAGTTTTTTCCGACGCTATCCGATTCCATGTAGTGGCACCCAATCCGTGTCATGTCTGCTTTACTTGCGAGTGCAGCTGCCATTGCGTACCTGGCAACAACTGCAGGTTCAGGAAAAGGAGAGTCACGTCACAGTCACAGTCACCATGCACGCTTTCCGTTTTTCATGTTTCTGCCCTAATCATGAACAGTCTGTCGCTGTCACGGTTACAACTATGTCCATGGGCACGCCCTCCATAGGTGCCGTGATATGGGCTACACATTCGACAACAGCTGATCCATCTCGACACACGCTTTCGCATGGCTATACAGTCGACATTTCGCATGTTTACGAGGAGACCAACAATACACCCATATTCCAGAAATGGGGAGGGCGACTGCATACTTTATGTGAAAATGTAGTAGTATGCGCTTTTTGTGAAACATTTTCATTTGAGACAACTATCATTCTGCCTTGTGCTAGGACAAAGACATTTTCACAATTCTGCCTGATCGGCAATATCTTACCAAGAGCGCAGCCACCGCCAAGTCCATATGAAGCATGCGGACACGCCCTCCACATGCCCGAGATATGGAGTGTATACAGTGTAGGTACAAAAGAGATCTATTCAATGTTTATTCTTCTGTTGATAAAAGGCGAAAATTGACATTAAAAGCATGCACGAAGCCCGGTTGTAGGACAGATTGCTTCAAACGCGGTGCATGGCGCCATTAGACGGCTGGCACAACGACGATTAAGAGGAGTTTTACTCCCTCTTGGAGCTATGCAGAGGAATTTTTTAGAATCACAATGGTTATAAGCAAAGTATAATACGTTTGCTAGACAGCTGATCAGTTCGTTTTTATTTGCATATCGGCATTGCCATTCTCATTTTAGGCAAATAGTGGCGTGAAGTGCTACAGGTTTGTGTTGTCCAATGTACACGTTCTCACCCACCAAACCATAGTAGAGTCCAGAAGCACAGAACGAATCCTGAAAGTGAGTCATTAGGATCTTCCACGAATGCACTATTTACATAAGAATTCCGACAGGCTAGAGGGTAGAACAATTTCTGAGAAAACTTTGCAGTGTCTTGGGTTACATCATTGCACTGCCCTTGTTTCTTGAAGGCAGTAGGCACGATGGCTGGAGGCGGGGGGAGGGGGGGGGTACTGCCGGCGTCATTGGTGGAAGGGCTGAGAGGGGTGGGCCCAAACTCCTTCTCGCACCAATGACGTTGGCAGTGACCACTAGCCCCCAGCCATTGCGCCCACTGCCCTTCAGTGATCTCATATGTTTGGGTCGGTTTATGGGCCCGTTGCAGCGACTATAAGTCGTAGCTAGTAGGGGTTAAAAATATGTAACGACCCCTCTTACAATTGGTTATAAGTAGGGTTCGACGCTATAGCTACCATTACAGAAGCGAGAAACGCCGCGAACCATAACGTACACGGAAGAGATATCACAAATTGAGGGCAACAGAGCACTCGACCGCTAGCCACAATGGCACGAAAATTAAGCGCAGGACCATGTAGTAAATGTACGTAAATGCGTAATACGGGAGGGAACATCAGACGATCGCAACAACTTGCGTCCTTAGCTTTCGTTTTCGATTGGCGAAAGTGATTCATCGTGGTGTCTGTGAACGTGCCCCCCCCCCGGTTCTCCCCTCGACCTCCTTATAGACGGGAGGAGGTAACCTCTCAGGTAAAAATGCAATTTAACCTCTCAGGTAAAAATGCAATGTGCCTCTAAAACGACAAGAGATTTTAGCACTCACATATCGGAAAAGTTTGTCCATCTTCTCGTTGTAGAGAACGCGATCTGCCCAAGCTGGACATAACGTGCGCATGAATTCTTCCTTACCGGTTTCCTCGCTGATGGCATAATGTCGAGATGGCTGAAATGATTGAATCCACAACGTATATCGCAAAACTCTCTCCCTATTTTCTGTGCCATAGATTTGTGTCGATGAATTTTCTTATGCTTGGAAATGGCTTGTAGAGCTGACAGAGCCGTTTCAGAGACTCGGAAACGTAAATGCCATTAACCTAAGCGTGCGGAGGGTGGTCCCTGTGGTGGATTTACCAGCAAGAGAAGGCGTGAGGGTCAGGTCTGAAGTTTGGTTAAGGCTTAGGGTTTCGCCTACTAATCATCATTTTTGTGATGGCTCGAAAAGCTTTGCCAATAAGTAGACTATCCTGAGAGGTCACCGGGAACCAAGTTTATTTATAGAATCATCACCGGAATAGAGCGTGCTGGCGGGTACCACATTTGCGGTAATGGCACATTCCACGCTGGTCGTATGGGCGGAGCGGGCCACCCGTCGCGCTTTTGTCACTGCTCCTCTTTTCGCTTTGCGCTGTGAGGAGCTAAAGCCACTAAGGAGAAGGATGCAGTGGTCCATGCGACACCTCTCATGGAGAGTGGAGCGGGGCGTCGTATGAGCTTTCAAACTCAACCTGGTCTACCTTCATTACCACTCGATTTCTCTCTTTCTCCTCTTTCTGCTTCTCCGGCGCGGTTCGGCGACGGGGGGCATTTTGTACTTTCATTGCTTCCCTAGTTCCGGTTTACAAGTCTCACTCTGGTGAAACCTGTGAACTCTTGTGAAGCTGGAGCAAGGTCGTCAAGCCATCATTGTGAAACCTGTCAACTCGAGAACAGGCTGTCTAGGTAGGTCGACACGTCGATGGAAAGTAGCAAAAGTGCAAAATGGCCCCCCTCCTCGCCGAACTGCGCCCGCTTCTCCACTCCAAACAAAGAGTGGAATCTATGAAGAGAAATAAAGGGGAAATCCCTATGCTAAGAGAAGAAATTACGAGGAGGTGTTCCTCAAAGGTTCGTTGCACGCTCATCCCTGATGCCATGTGCGAGAAAAGGGTCCACAGCTGAGGAAATGTATATTTTCGTCACCTGAAAGAGCCCGAAATAAGCTCAAAGGGTAGTCATAGCCAAATATCGTTTCAGACTCCACTCGCAGGCGAAAGACGCAGACACCAGCGTGCTGCAGGAGCAAGCATATGCCTGACTATAGGCGAATACGTTAAATAACAGCGCTATCTCAATTTCAGTCGTACTCTACCTTTGGCTGCGCGCTTTCGGCAGCTTGCCGACATGCTCGCTGTGGGTGCCTCCCTATCCATGCAATTGCCGCACTGGAAAATGAGAGGACAAAACATTGTCCGCTTCTTATAATTCTTCCTGCTTCGTTAGTTTCTATTGTTGGAATTGGCATCAGGGTACAGCGTCGTTGTGTGAAACACACAGGAGGGGAGCCATCCTACCGCTCCCCCCCCCCCGGTCGACGGAAAATTCTTGGGGGCTGAAATCTGGTGGGAAGCTGGGAACATGTAGGAAGGTAGCTGCAGGTAGGTGCTGGGGAAAAGGAGGGGGTCGTACCGATACCCCCATTTGGGTGGGGGGAGGGGGTCGTACCTACACTACCATTTCACACCTCACGCTGCCATACCCTGACTGGCACAGCTTCACTGCTGCGGAAATGGGCGCCTCGGTTATGGCAAAGATCCACTTACATGCAAGCCTACATCGGATCTTTATGAGTAACTCACGTCCCATGCACTGTTTTCAACACCGTCTCACCTGGAAGAAAACACTCTGTTCCATCAATTGACCCTTGAATGTGACTGGAGCCAGTTCGCCGTTGTATCTGGAAAACAGGAACGCCGTCGGGAACATTCGAGTTTATGATAATTCAGTGAACAGTGAAAACTGAGTTCAAAGAATCACTTCTTAACCATTTGTCCTCGACCAAGTCGGAAAAACCAGTCATGGATGGAATGCAAATCGAATCGCTGGCGTTCGACAGTCGTGACGTTCTGGAAGAGGATATAGTTTACAAACCAGTTGAAAGTTTTCACAGGCAGACAGACATTGGGACGTGTCAACCAGTCAGCACCTATGAGCCTCCACGACCGTCTGTAAGCGAAAACTCACTCTTGCAGATCCGGCATGTTATCCTTAGTTTACTCCCTCACAATGAAACGGAGATTAAGCTCACCCTGCCATGTCTGTCATATTGTTGAATGGCTTCGACTTTCCCTGTGTTGTCATCCTTCTTGGCTATGTTTTGTACCATTTGTGTGTTTTAGCTAGATACTATAAGAGTGCTTTTTAGAAAGGTATCTAATAGATGGGAACCACAAGTGCACGCGAACCGTCAGCAAGTCTGTCTCATGAAGTTGAGCGTTGAACGCTCCGCCAACGATTATCGCATCGTCACGTAGGCCTTCAGCCTCCAGTCTGAAAACACCCAGATCACTTGTGATGACGTTCACACGAAGAGGTAAACTGTGAAAAAGTCTGCCTATTGCCAGGGAAATATTGCAAATTCGGATGGAGTTCGCGCTCAATTTACCCTCAGAATAGCGAGGGGACTGAATGCTTATATATACACTTAACTGGTATATTAATTGGTATATTTATTAACTGGTATTGGCATATATTGGTAGAGCAAGGGAGCCGAACGCGGACTCGAACCGCGCTGCTCACGCCTCCGACAGTTCGCAATGATGAGGACTGCAAATATCACCCAGTGATTCATGAGACTACCAAACTTCGGGTCAACATTCCCTCTCCTAGGAGATTATCGAATCAGTGAAGCTCTTGTCAGTCTTGTCCAACGTGACTTGTATTAGACCGCATGGGTGGAGTCGGGCCTACTACTACGCCCACCTTATTCCACCACCTACCATATTACACCGTAATACCGGAAGCAGTGTTGCCCCTTTCGGTAATATGGTGAAGGAAGGCTGTGCCAACGGAAATCAACGACTTCGCACATCGCCACAGCATCCTATCGGCTCCAACAGGCGCCAGTTTGGCACCACCACCTTTTTCACTAAACTCGCAAGACTTACGTACAAGTTGTTTGGCAATGAGTACGAATATGAAACATTTTTGTAGCCAAGGCGTTATTTGGAGCCATTTGTTGGTCTCACTCACTGGACATTAGGTTCTAAGTGCTGCCTCTGCCAAAAATGAGTGTCACATTCGTAATGACGATGCCAACAACCCCAGAACGTAAGTTTATATCGATTTTGGTGAAAAAAGGTAATGGCGTCAAAAGTTACCGGGATTACCAAATAACTTTTATGGGCGGCATCTGAGCAAGAAAGACTTCGAGATCCCAGAATCGTAGTTGCTCAAGCGGTTGTTGGGACGAAGGCGGCCCATAAGGGCTGCTGCTGCCGACGTCGCAAAAATTACGCTCTGTACTTTAGTTCGCTACGGACGAGGAGGCGTGTCAAGCAGCATGAGTGTGCCATGGCGCCAACGTTCTCTGCCAGTTGTTGAAGCTGGTATGCGACCACAGTTGGAGAAAACAAGTGATACGAACGATATTATACAGTCTTGTCTCTTGCTCGTTTCAGTAAGTGAAGGAGAACGGGTTCAGCACCGCGCCAAACTCATCCGCCTGACACGCCCCTTCGTGCACAGCGAAGTAGACTGTAGATGATGAGATGATCCTTTAACAAGGGCTGCAACATGTCGTTATATAACAATCTACTTACTCTCTCAATAAAGTTTCGATTTCTTCGTTACGTTTCCTTGCAGCTTTCGTGACCTGAACGTGTTCGACGATCTCATTCACATCTTCGAACGGAACCGAGTGCAGGTTGAGATTGACAAATGTCATCTGAAAACCATCCACCTCGTTCATCTATCGAATGGGACACGAGTTTCAGAACCCACCTCTTTTCCATGGATTCTGAATCGAGTCAGGAGGAAATCCGTCGTTTCTGCGAATGTCAGCGTGTGGCCGTCATCTCTCTAAAGAGTACGGAGATAACTTGTGGTAAAAATCTGCATGAGGATAATTATTTGTGGATGCAACTTGCACGACTACTGATTCTGGTTAATCGGCGTTCATAGTCTCCGACATCAGCAATTTGAGGAAAATTTTGAATGAGTTTGAAGAAGAAATTAACGATCCAGCGAGTAACGATAGAGCAGTTGCAGTATCGCTGAGGGAATCCTTTCGGAGGTATTTGGTCTACTTGGGCTTGTGAGGGAGATCTTTTGCTTGCTTTTTGGATTGGTTTTCGGATCTGATGCGAGAACCCCCTGTCTGCTTGAGAGGAGTCGTCTGCGATATAGGGAAATGAAAAAATTGGAAAATTTGCTGAAGAATAAAAAAGTGATGGGAAAGTTGAGAGAGTGAGGGAGCTGGTAGGGCCAAGTCACGCATGGGAAGGGAGGCGGGACCCTACCAGAGGAAGGAATTTGGGAAGGCACAGCTACTTCATATCACAATGCTGTAGGCTGTTTCAAAGTCGAGCTAGATGAGCTGACGCGATTCGCGTTCGCTAACGTAATGGCGTCTCGTATTGGGTCGGGGTCTGACTCGCCCATAGCTCAGGGCATCCTTGAGGATAAGTTTCGGACGGAGAACTGGCGCGCGTCAGACGCAGCAACGCATAAGAAAGAGGCTCATAAGAGAGGTGTGAGGGCATAAGTCTTGTGGCCTTTTTACCCCTATGATGGCTTCTGGAGCGATGCTATTCCTACGGAGCTGAGGGGAGCACTCTTCAAGGATATGCAGCTTCATCATGGAAGGACTCATGAAGACGTTAACCTGGACTCTATGCGAAAGGAGATGGAAGCTGCCTAATACTAAGCGTGAATCGAACGACGGGACACGAGCCGAAAGATTCATCAGTAACCTTTTAAGCCAGGGTTACTGGCTGAGTTAGTAGTCGGAAGTCGGAAAACGAAAAAAAACCGAGTTATGACTCACATAGAATTGCCGTCGCACTAAGGGCGGCTGTTGTCAGCGAAGGTGTTTCTGAAAAACATCGTCTGACGGTTCCATATGATGGACTGTCAGGACGAACTTGTCGATAACCGGTATTCAGGTATCTGTCGAAATGCAGTACTGCAGAATGATCACGGAACAAATAAAGATTGCCAAGGCCCTGAAAGCATAAAGTTACTATATTGCTCTTGTAATGTTCCCCAGCTGAGCACCTACCGTAATAGTCGTATCGAAGAATGCCACCGAAGAATCGAAATGCTTGTGAATTTCAGGAATATCAAGTATCCTGCAAGAGTTTTTTCTAGATCTGGACGAATTTGAAGTGTTGACAGTCCCTAAAATGTATACCCGCTGATAATCACTCGGGATATGTAATCAGGATCATCTGCCGAATGGAGTCCTTGGACATGAACCACGGCGAACTCGGGTTTCTGTTCGGCGATTTCTTTAGCCACTTCAGACGACCACCTCCTTAGATCATCGTCCTAAAGTAGTCAAAAAATCTGCCATTATTTGAAAAAGTTGCGGAACGGTTGTACGCAGATCAGATTTTTACCAAACGCTGGTGAACATTCGGGGTGCTATTATTTACGGGGAAGGTTAGATTGAACGATATGGGATTATTTATGACCCTTTTTTCGCAACGCTGAGCGAGTTGTTCATTGAAGGGTGTTTCCGAGGGTAGATGGCACTTTTTAGGTAGGAATAGGACATTCACTTGGCGTTATAGTGCTTGTCCTTCGCGCCGTTGGTGCGAGCGCAGGGGTTTTTGCGGCTGTTTTTCTGACTAGCGAGCGACATCAGGGCCCTAATCTCTTATCCCTTTTCTCTAGCATTCCTAATATTCCACCGCAAACAAAGCTCGAGATGCCGGCTTCTTTTCATAGATCGTGAATCCCCCTGAGCCTGAATTTGGTCCTTCCGTGTGGTCACTTCAGGCTGTGATGGACCTCATTCATGGCTCTCATGAGCATAGCACCAGTTCTTCATTTCTTGAAAAGATCCTTGGACATATAGGGGCAGAGTTCGGCTCGGAGGGGGCACCGGATGGAACAAAGCTACATAATAGGTCAATTGTGAGGACCTTTAGAGTCCTATAACCAAAGTAATTCACTCGTACCATCTCATACCATCATAGGAGTTTACAGTCCCA